CTTCCAACCTTAATGATTCTGTGAAAATGAAAGTAAAGGCAGAAGTCTTCATTATAACTGGATCAGAAGCTGTCACCTTCATTTCAGATGTCTTTAAAACAGGTTTTGTCAAAAAAAAAAAGCAGATGTAGATTAAAGATAAAAGATGCATCAAAAAGCAACTACAATTAAAAACTTTCTTCTGCAGTGTAGAGACATCAGACTAGTAAGTGGGTCCCTGTGTTTGTCTGTGACTTCTCCTAAAACTATTTATGAATGTTATTCCAAATGAACCTTGTGTTGTCTGTAGGCTTTTTGCTCCGCCTCCTAGGCTCCATAGACTGACTTGCTACAAAATATTACCTCTATCTGTCTCTGGCATATAGTTAGGTACAGACTGAAATGCTACCTTCCTTTCTGGCCAAAGTCACCATTTCTCTTTGCTATTTCATTGCGTCGACTTTTGCTCACTTGTATTTCAGTAGACAATGTCATTTTGATGTACCACATCAGATAAATACAGTAATTTTATTGAGGTAGACTTTGAAGAGTAGTATTGATTATTTATGGAGACATGCTATCTTAATCAAGTAAATTCGTTTAAGCTGTCATGGTGAGTCAGTGTAATAATGTGCTTACGCTTCATGCTAGATGGTTTGTATTCTAGATGGATACGGGTGATTTAGAGGATAAAACAGTAGCGGACAATTGGCACAGAAGTCTGGTAGTGGTGGTTTAGTGTCACGTCTAACCTCACAAGTGCTTTGAAAGCATTGATGTCAAGTTATTTTCAGGGCCTGACTTAAAATAATCAGAAGAAATAGTTTAGCTAGTCAACCCTGCAAAAAATGTTGTCTGTGCATTTTTCACAGGAGGAGGGGATGCCAGGGGAAGGTTCCATGTGGAGCACTAGCTAGCAGTACCCAGCTAGTGATGAGCAGAAAGTAGGTTAGTCATGCCAGCCGGTCTGCTGGGAGCTATGTGCTTAGTCGAGGCTCTTAGCAGACATACTGCTTTCCCAACATTTCCAGGCAGTTACTAACTTTTCCGGTGAAAATGGCCTAAAACAGAGAATGTGACTTGACCAAATTTTTCAAGAGCTTGGCTAGTCTCCTGACTCCCTGGCCTGGTCTTCAATCATAAGAATGCTTTTTTTACATTTGTGTGAGCACGGGGTAGCCTAGCACCTTACACTGGCATGTGTTGGCACGAAATTGTGAGATTAGGTAAGAGCTGAGGGTGCTCTAAATGCTGTGAGTCATTCTGGCATGTTTTGATGAGTTGAGGCTTTTGGATCATGTTTAAAAGAAAAAGATAAATTTGGCGGGTAGGTAGGTATGCTGCAAAAGGTGGCTCAGAAGTAGCCTTTTAGTAATCTTCATTCCAATATAGGATGCTTTATTATCGACTATCCTTCAGCATCTCTAGACTGCTTACGTTTGTCATGTTTACAGTTAGCGTTGCTGAAATAGGTTTGGGGTTCTGTAGGTTGTCTTTATCAAGTCCTGCATTCATAGAATCATTTGGGTGAGAAAAGACCTTTAAGACTCAGTCCAACTGTTAACCTAACACAGGCAAGTCCAGCATTAAACCATGTCCCTAAGCGCCACGTCTACACGTCTTTTAAATACCTCCAGGGATGGTGACTCAACCACTTCCCTGAGCAGCCTGCTCCGGTGCTTGATAACCCTTTTAGTGAAGAAATTTTTCCTAATAATCCAATCTAAACATCCCCTGGTGCAACTTGAGGCCATTTCAGTCTTGAGCAAAAGACCTGTTTCTCAGGGGTGAGCATAAATCGCTGCTTTTCTGGCACGTGTCGGAAGCTGCTGCTAGAACACTGGTGCTCTTGGTGCCGAGTTCTGCCTCTTCTGCAGCCGGATGGTGCTCGCTCACCTTTAAAAACAATAACTACTTGCTTATGTCCAAAGCAAAGAGCCAAGGCCCATACCTGGAGCCTAGCGAGGCAGTGTTGTCAGTTGTTGACAGAACTGACCTTTGAGTCCTGCATGCTTACGGCATGGAGACGGTGAGGCTGGGGCACGACCTGCGCTCTGGCCTGTGCGCAGGGTAAAGAAAGATCGATATTCTCTAAATGCCACGTTAGCAGCAGATGCTCTGCTGCAGCCTCTTGCTGTGGCACGACCTGCGCTCTGGCCTGTGCGCAGGGTAAAGAAAGATCGATATTCTCTAAATGCCATGTTAGCAGCAGATGCTCTGCTGCAGCCTCTTGCTACATGGTAGTATGTTCTGAAGACCCAAAATGTGCTTTGCTGTGCGGTTTGGTGTTTTGATCCGTCTGCATATAAAAATAGTTTTGTGGGGAGATAAGGTTGGTTAGCTTTTTATTTCCCCCCTTGGGCTCAGTGTTACCTTTTTTCCCTCTTACAAATGCTCACTTCAGTGAGTGCTCGCAGCGCTTATTGTCCTGGCTTCACTTAATACGTGCTGGCTAAGCGCTGCTTTTCCCAGGGAGTGCCTGGTGTGCCAGCTCGGAGGAGCACAGGCTTCAGGACTCGCTCTTACGGACGTTCACCTGATTCCCCGTGGGTTGATACCAAGTAGGAGCAGATGACAAACTGTATTGGCAGGCTCTTGTTTAACAGTTACTCAGCAGGAGCTGTTCCTGTTCCTCGTAAGTTGTAACACAGCAACTTTTAATTTGTTAACAGGCCAAAGTATATTTAGAAGAAAAATCTTTCCAACTTGTCTAGAATGTCTTGAATATTGCATTTAAAACTAAATGTTCTAAAACTTCTGATCTTGCAATTAAGGTTTTAAGCTAATTAAGCTTTTTCTCTAAAACATTTTGCTAATAAGGTGTGTATGATCTCCTTTTTTCCAGCCTTGTAATTTTTCCTTTTCTATGGCAAGTTTTTTTATTCAGCAAGAGTATCAGTGAATATAGACTGTGCATAAGACCTCTTATTCCTGGGAGCTTTTCAATAAATTTTACCTTCTCATCCCTGCTAAGTCTAATTTTGCTTTTTTCCTGTGGTTCCCCTTCTGTTCTTCCATCTGTTTGGTTTAACTGCTTTATTCTCTCCTGGTGTTTTGTATACAATCATCCGTATAGCTTCTACCCTTTGCAGCTGTGTTTAGTTTCAGTGGTTTAGTTCAGTTTAGTTTCAGCATACCTTTCACTAAGATGTTCCAGGATGAGCTATGATTTTGTGAAACTGAGACTCTTAAAATCGTTCCTTCTGTCTCCTTTTTTAAACTCTATTTTTATGACTGCTTGCACATGCCATTTACGGTGCCGTTGGCATTTTGGAAAAATACTGTAATAGCTCCGGTTTCTTGCTTCTCAGAATCTCCAGTTTTTTCCATTTTTCCACATTTTCCACAAGCTGTGAAAGTAGTAAACCAAGTAAAATGAGATGGAAAGACCTCAGTCCTGCAGAACGTCCGTGCACAATACATCTCACTCACTGCAAGCCCGGCTGCCTTCTTTTCTGGAAGACCCCCGCTTATGTTCTGGGTCCCATTGCTTTGTGCTGCGGAAGTCACCTTGGGCTGACTCACAGATCCCACAACTCTTCTGAAGAATAACCGCAATAGATAAAATAACAAATTCAGTGATTCATGAGGCATTTTCAAATATTCATGAGAAAAATAATTGGGGGGGGGGAAATATGAATTTTGACATTGTGATTTTACAGGGCTTATCAAGGCTTAGAGATAAGAGATTAAAATCTTGCTAAGAGGGTTAGTTTTTGGAGTGCGGAAGAGTTTTGATAAACAAATATGTATCAATTGCATATCTATGTAAAGCTTTTCATTCTCAAAAGCAGGAAAGAAGCGAGAGAGATCTCTTTCCACGAGCAAATAGGTGCTGGGGCAAAACACTGGTGAGGAGGGAAAAAGTTATTTTCTGTCAACATGTTTGGCTGTGCTGTCATAAACAGAGCTCAGTTCAAAGGATCTGGGAATCTCAGATTTCTTTCAAGAGCAACCAATTTCCTGCAACACCTTGTCAGTGCTAGGAAAAGCATCTCTTGCACTTAAAAGCAGCTGGTTGTTTTAAAAAACAAAGTGTCTGTGTGAGAACATCCCCCTCATCCCTTACACAGAGTCATCTTCCAGCGGAAAATGGACGTCTGTGAAACCAGGGCACTTCAGCAAATGCTGTGTGCTTCAGGATGTCATTCTGCAAGGAAAAGTGTTTTTTACTAACAGTGTGGGCTGCTTGTTTGGGTATTTTCAGGAGAGGGCTGGGGTTTTTTGTCTTTTTTTTTTTTTTTTTAAACTTTTGCAGTGAGTTACTTGCGTTTTGAAGTTTTATTAAATACTATTGGTTTGAAATACATTGTTCTGATCCTTCTCAAAACAGTTGTTTAAAAATATTGTTACACAGAATTATTCTAGGTGTTAATCTTAAGTCAATATACTTTTACATTTTCTGTGTAGTGATATTGGTAATTTTTCTTCCTCTTTCATTCTATGAAGTAAGAATTGTGAACTTTGTATCAGTAAAAGAGCTACTAGTTTACCAGTTAGAGAAACTAATTTTTAACCTCTATTTAGAAGTGTGTGTGTACCTTTTTAAGGTATTACGGGTTTATGTTGTTTCTAGGGATGATTTACTAAATTGTTCTTGAGAGCTCTTAAGTAATAATATTCTTGTGGCTTGCTTTGCAGAGGGGCAAGAGACTTTTCTAAAAGAACTGTTGACAATGTTATGACATGAGCATTAACCTTGTGTTAGCAGGAGAAAATTTAATTTTATGGGAAATGTCAATTTTTTTTCATTTACTTACAAGTTCTGTCTTGTGGAAATATACTTAATATCGTAACTAGGGCAAAGACAAATTACTGATATTGATACTTTTGTTGCTGGTTTGAATTGCCTCATGTGCTTGCCTTTAAGAAATAACTTGACACTGTCAAAAGGATATTTGAATTTTCTTTGTTATAGCTGATGCTTCCACATCTGAAATATATTTGCCAATGTTTTGTTGTCTGCAGGAACGATCGATATATGAAGATGAAACCATGAAGAGAAGGCAGAACGAATAATAATGCTTTTCCGAAACCGTTTTCTGTTCTTGCTGGCTTTGGCAGCCTTATTAGCCTTTCTGAGCCTCAGTCTACAATTCTGTAAGTGTCCTCCCTTTTTGTTTTCTATATATAGTTGTCTATAGGTGTGTTTAAAAGTGTCTATGCTTACATGTTGTTTAAGCATTCTTTCTGTATTTAAATATTTGTTGTGGTTGGTTGGTTGTTTTTTAAATAGGAAAATAAATGTCAGAATAAAAATAGTTTTGTATGTCATATGGGAATCTATACAATCTAGAGACTTTCTCAGTCAGGCTATCTCAGGGGAAAAAAAAAAATCTTGATTTTGTAGTGCAGTTAAGTAATTGAATGTGACTTGAATCCTTCCATGAAAGTAGACAAAACACATTTGACTAAAAACTCTGCAGTTCCAATTTCACATTGCAGCAGACCAGACGGGATTGAGAAAAATGCTGTGAGAGGGTTGAGTGTTGGAACTTCTCCTTATTTGTGCCCTCATGTTAGGAAACTTTAAACACTTGAATTGCCTGGCAAGTCATAAGTGATCACAAGTGACTGGTTTGTTTAAGAAAAGATAAATTATGTTGTGCTTGAGATCAGTTAACCATGGGTCAATCCAGAGGACTGTCATTTACCGATTAAGCAGGAAGGTGGTGCTGAATGCAGGTTGGTGTATGTAGACAAATGAGCGTTGTGCCACGTGTCTGCTTATCACATAGTTCCTGAACAATAACATTTGCTAGGTAAAGTGATGTTGGGTGTAAATCTGATACGTACTAATGCATGCCAATGTAACTAGTTGCTGTTAAAGAGCAAGGAAAAATGCATATCCCTACCACAGGATAACATTCTTTGTTGTTGTCGTGCCTCGTGTTTTAATGTAAGAGTGCGGTCCTTCTGGTCTATGCTTTTTTTGCATAGTGTAAAAAACAAAAACCCCAAACAACAACAACAACAACCACCAAAAAACCAACCAAAAAACAAATGAAACCCAAACCCAGAGGATTACTTGCAATTTAGAATGTGTCTTTTGCATATGGTGGCAACTTAAAAAAAAAAAAAGTGGGGAGGAAGGGGGAAGAAACTTTGTGGGTTTATGTCATTGTTTTTTGTGTGTTTAAACTGATCTACATGTAATGCAGGGACCTTTGGCTCTGAATTGATTTTTCAGCCTCCCATGGGTACATGCCAGTGGGTCTGGTTGCAGCTTGTTTTGCCCATTGGGCTCTTTATGACTCTGTCCTTGACGTTATATGGTTCATTATGAATTGTGTAGAGGATGAAGATCCTAGAGGAACTTCAGCGGCAATACGAAACTGAATTGTTAACAAAAATGAGCTTTATGTAGAGACGAAAAGGTAGGCATGTAGGAGAATGAATCACATTCCATCAAAAGAGGAAGTTATTTTCCACTTAATTAGAAGATAACATTCGTGCAAGAGGAATTCCAGGAGATACAGATGTTTGAGGGGTGCTTTAAAAAGCACTGAAGCTACAGCTAGCAGCCATCATGAAAGTTAGTGCCAATACCAAAACACATACAGCAATTTTTACATAATGAGAAATGCAGTACAGGCTAGCAGGAACCAAGTAGTTTATGACATATAGGTAGCCTGATATTTTAACTTCTGCCAGCTTCAGCTTGGTAGTTAGTTCAAACTTGGAACCAGGACATCTCCAAAGCAAAGACAAAACTCTCTCCTCCTATCGCCATGTAACACTATTTTGGAAACCAAATGGAGTTTGGAGGATTTAAAAAAACAAGCCAGAATCTTAAAGCCAAAACCAATTTTTCCCCTTCAGCCCCTAAACAACCCCCTACCTGCAAAATTATGTTAGAGTCTGCAAGTGCTTGGTGAGCTGCTTTCAAATTAAACATAGTTGTAAATTTTTAGTCTTTTCCAAAGTATACATCCTGACTAGTTTAACATTAAACCAAGGAAACACTTGATTCTGAACTTGAGCTTTAAATGAAACGGGCACACATTTAAGGAAATACTTGCGATATGTTGCTAATGGAAGCATAGTTTCAGTACTGTCTTAGAGCAGAATCTTTGGTCAGTCGCCATGACTCATATAAATACATAAAACTGCTGTTTTGATAAAAGCGGACCAAGTACTAGCACATGGTGACCCACATGCTGACTCACCAAGGCAGTAACCCCCACCTGAGAAATTTCAGGACATCCTTCAGAAAACGTCAGCCCCTCTGATACTGCATGTTAAGGAGTGCTTTACTGCACTAGAGCATTGAAGGGCAGAATATTTTAAGTGTCTAGTTCCATGGGACATAGAGAAGGGTCTGCCACTATGTTGGTCTCCTTATGAGTAGTTTGGACTCATATATTAATTTAAAAAAAAAATTGTATTTTTTTTTTTGAACAGCAAAATTCCAATTACTGTATGTATTTTTAGGGATGAGCTTTCTTTAACAGCGGATTTAAATATAGACTCTGTTGTAGCACTATGTAGTTAGTAGATCTGTATTTACTATTTGTTTCCTATTGCTATGTTGAAGGTCCTTCCTTGCACTGAATTTGTTACTCTTAAGACATGACACAGTTCAGAGGCATGCATCCCTCACAATCTGATTCTCACTGTTGCACAAAGTGGTAGTAATGTAGTCTTGTTTCATGTATAAAACTTTCTTTGTGAAAGCAGTATGCTGCTTTTCTTTTTCATCAGCCTGTAAAACTTGGTTTCCAAGTTTTGATCCCTTCCAAACTGCCTGGAGAAAAATTTTGTTTATACTGCTTTATAATTTGTGTCAGATCATGGAATGAAAATGAGTTTATACGTTCAGACTCAGGAAAATGCCCAAGTATTGATGATTTTTTTTTTTTTTTAAAAGAAGTTATCTCCTGAAGCATTTGAGCATTTGGAGTGGAAATGGATGTTTTATGCTGTTGTGAGATTGATTCTGTGTTAGCAAGCATGACAGCTTTGCAGAGGAGGACTGGTCATCTTAAAACATACTCCTGCTTCTCTAAGCAGTAAATGTTGAAAATGTGCTACATTTGTTTAGAAAAGTGAAACAGTAACATTAAATGCATAATTATACAAATGGTACATATCTTCCTATTTTTAATCTTCTGCTTTAGGGCAGAGCATCATGCCTGTAAATGCTTGATATGGAATCTCCTCTTGGCAATTTAAAGCCAGGCTTGTGAGTTGTACCTGACTCTGAAGCAAAGGGTGTAGTGAAGGCCAAGTTCAGCA